AGGAATCCCATCTCTGTTGAGCTCTCCGCAGAGTCAGCCCTCATCCGGCAACCTGAGCAGACCGGCCGCATCCACCATGTCCGGACCGCTTACGTCCTCCGGAGCCGCCACCAGCACTGGCATCCCTACGCCCTTCAAGTTCCGAGCCCGGCGTGAGAATGTGGACTGGCGTCGGATCAGTGCCATCGAGGTGGACCGGGTGGCTTCCGAATTGGACTTCCACACCCTACAGGAGCACATCACGGAGGTGACGTTCTGCGACGTGGAGGGCGAGCGCTGCCACCGCTGTCAGAGCCCCGTGGACCCGGCCCTGATTAAGCTCTTCCGGCTGGCCCAGCTAACCGTGGAGTACCTGCTGCACTCCCAGGATTGCCTCAGCATCAGCCTGCAGGCGGCCGAGGAGAGGCTGCAGGCGCAGATGCGGGAAAGGGAGCAGCTCTGCATCCAGCTGCAGAAAAAAACCCAGGATGCCAAGACGTTAAAGGAGGAGCTGAAGCAGAGGAAGAAGATCATAGCCTCTCAGCAAGCCATGTTCAGCACGGGGATCAGTGCCAATTACCACAAGGTCTGTACAGCCCCGTGGTGGAGTGTGAATATGTGTATTAGCATTTTCATTGTCGCTGTCACCTCCCCACTCAAGGCCAGACTCTATTCCACCCCAGTCTCACAGTTCATTGACCCCGGTGAATGTAACGTGTGCTTTTCTCACATTTGGTGGTGTGAAGGTGCAACATTAATGCTGAATACCAATTCGCATACTATCCTCTGATCAGTGTTAGTTATTGTTAAAATCATTATTTTTTTAAATTCATTTTCATTAATTGAGATAAAGATGAAATAAAACATTAATATTAGGTGAGAAACATAAACTTAAAAAAAAAACTGAAACGGAAATTAGAAATGCACTGGCAATGAACTGAAATAAAATCATTTTAAGTTAAGTCATTTTAAGTACTAAAATTACTAAAAATTTTATTAAATCTAAATAAAAAAATTTTTTTAAAAAACTAATACAAATTGAAAGCACATAAATTTAATTAAAATAAAACATTTAAAATCTAAAAATATCTAATCCAAAATATAAATAAATACAATAGTAATATGTAAATAATACTAAAATAACAAAAATATTATAGATTTTTAATGCATATATCTGTTAAAAAAATAAAAATAATTTGCATGTAGAAAAAAAGCTAACAGACATGGACTAAAAGCTAGAAAACTACCAATTTTGATTTCATGGCGTCTTTAAAAGTATGTGCATTACCATCACTAGTGTAGTATGCGCTTTTCTTATCTAGTAGATGTGATGTCAACACTTTTAAGTCCATAATCAGGCCTGCAGGCTGGGACAGGATTAGCTAATCACCAGACGCTGTGTTTTTTGGACACGGCATTCAGGATTTGGTGAATGGAGCAGATGGTGTCAGCTGGTGACAATGACTTATAAACTACACTACACTTATAAAAGAGCCTTAAGTGGAGGAAAGAAATCAAAGCGCCCATCCCCCATCATCCCCTCCCACTCATCTCATCAATGAAATAAAACCGCATGCTGCATTGCTTTTAGAAACATTTCGGTCTTTGTACCATGGCTATATCAGCTGTTTGCTCATTTGCAATCATGGAACTGTCGCTCCTGATTGTGGCCAGCTGTTGCCAAGTGTTTCATGTGGTTGCTAGGAAAAGCACAGGCGCCTGACAGCAGAATCGAAATGAAAGTGCTGCTCATGGTTTACTGTTTAATGGTTTACTGGATCAAGTGTTTTTTTTAACTGTGAGCAATGAAGTGGTTACCTAATTTGTATTTTGCATAAATACAATGAGGCCTATTTTAAGTACCAGTAAGATTGTTTTGCATTGTGATATGTGACCCTGGAGCACAAAACCAGTCTTAAGTCGCTGGGGTATATTTGTAGCAATAGCCAAAAATACATTGTATGGGTCAAAATTATTGATTTTTCTTTTATGCCAAAAATCATTAGGACATTAAGTAAAGATCATGTTCCATGAAGATATTTTGTAAGTTTCCTACTGTAAAGATATCAAAACTTAATTTTTGATTACTAATATGCATTGCTAAGAACTTTATTTGGACAGCTGTCCAAAGGTGATTTTCTCAATATTTAGATTTTTTTTGCACCCTCAGATTCCAGATTTTCAAATAGTTGTATCTCGGCCAAATATTGTCCTATCCTAACAAACCATACATCAATGGAAAGCCTACTTATTCAGCTTTGAGATGGTGTGTAAATCTCAATTTCAAAAAATGTACCCTTATGACTGGGTTTGTGGTCCAGGGTCACATATTATAGTGACATTTCCGCCAATAATTTTCATTTTTGTAATGATTCTCTTTTGTTTACTGATATATATATATTTTTATTTAAATGTGCATAAATTAAAGGCAGTGCAACAAATATTACACAATGCAAAAACAGCATTTAAATATATATTAAATGTCTAATTATTTTTTATTACAGTAAAGAGAGTGAGATATTTTTGCATATGAATTGAGAGAATCGAGGGGGAAATGTCATGAAAATGTCAAAATTGGGAAAAATATTATTTAAACAAAATAAAATTTCTATATATAATTTATAATAATTTCGTATAATATAAATTCGCAACAAAACTTGATATTATTACTGTAATACAGATTAAAATCCTCTTCAGACAAAATAATTATTTATTTCAATTATTTTTTATTCAAATAAAATCAGCATAAATACAAAACAGTACAACGAATACTACCTTAATATAAACGTACAATTATGAGAATTCTTTTTTTTTTCTTCACATAATAGTTTGTGACTGCATGAGGGTGTTTTAAACGTGTATAAAAAAAACCTTGTTCTTAAAATATCCTTAATTTTCTCTTTGAAAAATATATTTTTCCTTTGACTTTGAGGTGAAATTGGACCCAGATATATTTTTTACAGTTTTCTAGAGTCTGCACCAGTTCTGTATTACATTGTCTTGGTCTTTGTTCAACACCTGCTGAGGCTGCAGATTGACACCAGTGGACCCTAAACACATAATTGCATTTCACAGTTGATTTGGGAAGTTATGTTAGTGCAGCAATGCAGTTATGTCACACAGTGGGTGTTTTACAGAGACAGCCTTCCCTGTCTTGTTGCAGATAAAAAGACAAATGCAGAGCATCTGTTTTTGATGGGTATCAGTGGCAGTGTGGTTAAATTTGCATGAGAGTACCAGACGGGTGTTTTGGCTGCTAAATGTGGTGTATGATGTGCAGCGCTGTGGATTTTCTGCATATCCATGAATTGGAGCGAGAGATAGAGCGGGGAAAAGATGTAACATCAACCCTGCACTAACCGGTGTTTCCATGGCAACGTGCCCACATTGTCTCTTGGTATTATTGGTGAGTGGAGTGTGAGTGACAGCTGTGTTGAGCTGCACCAACACCTGCTCATCACCTGAGCGGGGCTCGTGTTCAATCTGACCTTCAGCAACGATTCTCCCAGGCACATTTGCTTTTTTCAACCCACTTGGTTTCATTACCGTTAAAGAAATTAGTTCACTCAAAAATAAAAATTCTGTCATCATTTACTCACCCTAACATACCTATATGACTTTCTTATTTCAATGGAATAATACAAAAGAAGCAAGGCACTGAAGAAAAAGTCATCAGTATTTATCTTCACAGATTTGATGATGTCACAGATATTAATAAAGCTCCTGATTTTGTTTGCTTTTCAGTGCCAACACTGTGAGAAAGCCTTCATGAATGCCTCTTTCCTGCAAAGTCACATGCAGCGCAGACATCCTACGGAGTTTGACATCAGTGAGTTCAAACTGTGTAGAATCAGTTCACAATGTGTGTCTGTTGTATTTTGCTTGCCATTGTGGAGAAGTACACTTTGGCATACCTTTAATAAGGATTTATGGAAATAACATGCTCTAAAAGAATGCAAACTTAATGTAATGTTTTCAGACTCTTAACTGCATGTTAATTGTAATTAAATGAAAATGTGTTAGTTTTTTATAATACAAATATACTGTAGTATATAATTTATCATTACTATTTGTAATAAATACATTTATATTAAATGCAATAAGCTGAACTTTATAGTGTTTTTGACCTACTATATATACTATAGAAGTAGACTATATACAGTAGACTGTAAGTACATCTTTATATGTAATTTTATAATTGCTTCTATGGTCTTTGAAATATGGTTAAATTGTGCAGCTAAATGTACTGACAAGTATTTATGGTAAACTAAAATATACTTTATTGTCATTTCTATTGGAACTTGTTATATTTAAATATATTTGTAATTACACATTTGTAATGATAAAGTTATTTAGTACACTTAAAATATATCAACTTTAAATTTTACAATTATGTAACACTACAGTTAAAATTATAATCTAGTACTTTACATGTGCTTTAGTATGTTAGTCCACACTTCAAAATAAGTGTACTTCTATAAAGCATGACAAAATATTACAACATGATTTAACAACGATTTAAAATGATTTTAAATCTGTTATTTTATTTTATTTTGTTCATCATTACAAAGTGCGCTTTTTAAAAGTGTACTTAAGTGTGTTGAGAAACATAGTCTTGAAAGTGTACTCTAAGTACATTTAACTGGCCTTTTATTTATCTGCATGTACAATTTTTTTAAATATACCTGTATGATTTCTACAAGTGCTCTTTCAATACACAATTTTTTCACAAGGGTGATTCAAGCATCTCATTTTTCCAGAACTGATGATGACAGATAATCAGAAAAAAATTCAGACCATGAAGTTACAAGAGGAGATCAATAATCTACAAGAGCAGCTGACCCTGGTCACGTCCCAAATGGAGACACAGCAGAAAGACTACACTGCTAAACAGGTTAGAGGAGACAGAAGACACACCATGTTTTTAATAGAATGATTTGCTATTTGAAATAAATATTTCAAACTCATTTTTCTCCAGGAGAAAGAGCTCATTCAAAGGCAGGAAGAGTTTAAGAGACAACTGGAAATATGGAAAGAAGAAGAGAAAATGCGAATGAATGGCAAAATAGATGAAGTCAAGCAAGCCTGTCAGCGGGACATGGATTCAATGCATCAAAAGAACAGAAACCTAGAAAATGTATGTTTTTATTTCAGACAAAGCATGTTGGTCATCATTTACTCAACCTTATGTTGCTCCAAATTAATAATATCAAATTATTTTATTAAAATAGTAACATTTATACTATTATATACTATAATATTATATAATATGCTGGATTGCCAAACTTTGCAGGATTTACAGTTGTTGTTGTTTTTAATTCGCTTTGGTGCTATTTTCACAAGTAATACATTTGGTTATCCCTAAATTGCAAACAAGTTCTTTAGAAACTATATCTATTGAATCTATATCTATAGATGCACCAAATGATTGTGTGTATTGTACTAAGACAAGTGAAAATATGCTGAAATGTTTGAAAAAAGTGCACTTTTGATGATCTGATATTAGTACTAAGAGTTTTGAAAATTGAACAGTTGCTTGTGAAAATAGAACCAAAGCGAATAAGGAAAACTGTAAATTAACATGGTTATAAAGGATAAAATACACTGATCAAAAAGGCAAAAATTGATGGAAGTATTGATATTATGTGATGTGAATATACTGAAATGGCATTAATATGGTACTTCTCTCTCCCTAGGAGCTGCTAAAATTACAGCAGAAAAATATGCAGGAAAGTATGCAGATGGTACAGACACCGCCCAGTACATCAGCCAGCAAGGAACACTGGCAGGAAGTTGTTAAACTTCAACAAAAACTCCACAAACAAGTAAGAGATGCAGCATTCATTTGATTTGGGACAGTCCAGTACACCACACCTTAGAATGGAAATTGCTGTAGTTTTAAAGCTGATGTTTTTCTTCACTCAGGAAGTGAAGTGGGCAGGGAAAATGCAAAAAATGACGGAGGAACGTGACGGTGAAAAAAGTCTGGTAGGTGTCACAGGCAGCATGTAGCATGTAGCTGTTTAAATACAGGAATAGCTCATATATCCACATATCTGTTATATATGTTCCATCAGCTTCAGGAGGAGCTGTTCAAACTGCGCTCGGCCGTGTCTGAAGGGAGGGAGGAATCACGACGACAGGTGCAGGAGCTGAGCCACAGGCTGCAGGAGCAGCAGCAGATTATTGCCTCCCAAAACAAGCAGGTCAGTACTGTATCCCAGCACAGGAAGAGGCTCGATTGTTCAGGATTTCCTGTATTAGCGCAGCAGCCCACACCATAATCTTTAGGTTTGGACTGAAGGAGTGTACTGGTGGGAAAATATCCGGACGTTTGTGTAATTATCATCTCACTGGTTATATGTTGGCAGCTCGTCATTATGCAGGATGTCCTTTCAGTAAAACATTTCAATTTGAAGTGACGTGTTGCTGACTGGGTTTTATTGTTATAAGAAATAACGTGCAGTTTTGTTTATATGACAGATGAAACAGATCTTGTCAAAGCCACCAGCAATAACAGTACAGCGTGAAGGTATGTAGACATTATATTTTTGGACAAACGTTTGTTATTCGCTTTGGTACTGTTTTCACAAGCGACTGTTACATTTTCAAAATTCTTAGTGCTAATATCACAACAGATCATCAAAAGTGCACTTATTTTCAAACATTTCAGCATATTTTCAGTTGTCACACAATCACAAAGTGTCCTTTTCACTACATAAAATAAGTGTTTCATCTATATAAATGTTTCATTCACAGTAACAACCTTTCATAAAGCTCTTACTATCAAACTTTTGTGGGAGACTTTTTTTTTCTTTTGGACCCTATGAGTAAAAAACAATTTTCGTAAGGGTAGCTTTAGGAGTAGTGTTAGTCTAAAGAGATAGAATACACAGTTTGTACAGTATAAAACCCATTATTCCTATGGAATTTCAACATAATGATAGGAATGCCTGTGTGTGTGTGTGTGTGACTTAACCATATTTTGGAGACAAATTGGTACCCAGAAGTGAGCGAAACCTGACAAAATCACCCAAAACCTATCTTTGAAGACGTCCTCATTTGTAAAACTGTGTGTTTTGTAATTTGTGAACATACAGCAGGATACAAGCGAGAGGAACTGATCAGACATGTATCAGAAGAAGGTAGACAGATGGTATCAAATACAGCATGTTACAATACATTATGCCATTTGATACTGTATATAGACATATATATTGATACTGTACATTACCATGGTAGAGTCTGCACATTACTATAACTCACCCTTCATCTGAAGAGTTCAGCTATAGCATAGATTCAGTCATATGGCACAGTGAGGAAATTTACTGTACTGCATTGAGGGTAAACTCTGTTAGCACAAAACCTTATGGCCATGTCATACCTCCATCACACCTTTTGATAACACACTGGATATATACTTTTACAAACAATGGATTTTATGTGAGTTATGCAAGTTAGATAATGTAAGTGTATTTTCTAACATGACAATTATTGCCTGTATTACTGTAATTTTTCAGCAACAAAGGTGATTTGAAACATGTATCTTGCATTGTTTGCTCTTGAATGAACTGATTGTTAAAAGTACTAAATTGAAAGAAGATCATACTGTTGTGTTTCGGTGGTTAAATCAAATGCTCTCAATATATAATACAACAATCTTATGGGACCCACTTTATATTAAGTGGCCTTAACAACTATGTACTTACATTTAAATTAATAATTTGGTACAATGCACTTATTGTGTACATACATGTTTTTACATTGTACTTATATTTTAAAAATACCTGCATGTAATTACTTCTGTAATTAATTTCTGTAATTACATTTATAATTACAATGTTGACCCATCCCTTACACCTTGCCCCACCCTTAAACCTACCCATACCACCAAACCTGTCCCTAACCTTACCTGTACACAGTGTTGTGTTTCGGTGATTAAATCAAATGTTCTCACTTAATATAACCATCTTATGTATTGAAACAATGATTGTGTGGATGAAAATATGTGTAATTGTAATGAAAAATGAAAGTCAGTTTTGAAAGAATAACTAGTGGTGTTACAAGTGTGATAAGTTTGGATTTTTGTACTAAGAGTTTTGAAAATGCACACCAAGTTAGAAGTCAGAAAGAGCTTTATTGCCAAGTATGTTTGCACACACTAGGAATTTGTTTTAGTGTCACAAGCTTCCAGTACACGGAGACAACAACAACAACACATATAATAAAAATAAGATGTGAATAAAATACACATGTATAAACATAAATAATCAACAAAAAAAGAATA